GTGTTGGAGAATGCTGGTCGGTGGCCTATGCTCCATTAGGAGTAACAGGCGTAAGTAAGTAAGTAAGTAAGTAAGTAAGTAAGTAAGTAAGTAAGTAAGAAAGTTATTGCTTTTTATTATTATTTTGTACCTTACTATAATGTAGTGAGTTTAACCGAATATCTTATTTTTCTCCATTACTAGTATTATAATGAGCTTTTGTCATTTAAATAATTACAAATAAGATTGTTCTGAAATCCTCAATAACTTTGAGAATGTCTAAATTTGAGATTTTAGAACCCAACTTAGAGTTGATGTTCACTTTGGAATTGAAACCTAGTACTATTCGCTTACAAACACCATCGTATTATCCATTTAGCTACTGAGTCCAGCTGACGAGTCCCAAATTGTATGAAACGCTTCTCCTGGATTCCACTGCTAGCCACTATTCATCTTTGCTTATAAAGACTTGAATTTATTGTACTGACTTAAAAAATATCACTGAATGACACATTACGCCGGGAAATGGAGATAGACATGAGAAAAATGAACAATAGATGGATGGAACTAGAAAAGAAGGCCCAGGACAGAGTGTGTTGGAGAATGCTGGTCGGTGGCCTATGCTCCATTAGGAGTAACAGGCGTAAGTAAGTAAGTAAGTAAGTAAGTAAGTAAGTAAGTAAGTTATTGCTTTTTATTATTATTTTGTACCTTACTATAATGTAGTGAGTTTAACCGAATATCTTATTTTTCTCCATTACTAGTATTATAATGAGCTTTTGTCATTTAAATAATTACAAATAAGATTGTTCTGAAATCCTCAATAACTTTGAGAATGTCTAAATTTGAGATTTTAGAACCCAACTTAGAGTTGATGTTCACTTTGGAATTGAAACCTAGTACTATTCGCTTACAAACACCATCGTATTATCCATTTAGCTACTGAGTCCAGCTGACGAGTCCCAAATTGTATGAAACGCTTCTCCTGGATTCCACTGCTAGCCACTATTCATCTTTGCTTATAAAGACTTGAATTTATTGTACTGACTTAAAAAATATCACTGAATGACACATTACGCCGGGAAATGGAGATAGACATGAGAAAAATGAACAATAGATGGATGGAACTAGAAAAGAAGGCCCAGGACAGAGTGTGTTGGAGAATGCTGGTCGGTGGCCTATGCTCCATTAGGAGTAACAGGCGTAAGTAAGTAAGTAAGTAAGTAAGTAAGTAAGTAAGTAAGTAAGTAAGTAAGTAAGTTATTGCTTTTTATTATTATTTTGTACCTTACTATAATGTAGTGAGTTTAACCGAATATCTTATTTTTCTCCATTACTAGTATTATAATGAGCTTTTGTCATTTAAATAATTACAAATAAGATTGTTCTGAAATCCTCAATAACTTTGAGAATGTCTAAATTTGAGATTTTAGAACCCAACTTAGAGTTGATGTTCACTTTGGAATTGAAACCTAGTACTATTCGCTTACAAACACCATCGTATTATCCATTTAGCTACTGAGTCCAGCTGACGAGTCCCAAATTGTATGAAACGCTTCTCCTGGATTCCACTGCTAGCCACTATTCATCTTTGCTTATAAAGACTTGAATTTATTGTACTGACTTAAAAAATATCACTGAATGACACATTACGCCGGGAAATGGAGATAGACATGAGAAAAATGAACAATAGATGGATGGAACTAGAAAAGAAGGCCCAGGACAGAGTGTGTTGGAGAATGCTGGTCGGTGGCCTATGCTCCATTAGGAGTAACAGGCGTAAGTAAGTAAGTAAGTAAGTAAGTAAGTAAGTAAGTAAGAAAGTTATTGCTTTTTATTATTATTTTGTACCTTACTATAATGTAGTGAGTTTAACCGAATATCTTATTTTTCTCCATTACTAGTATTATAATGAGCTTTTGTCATTTAAATAATTACAAATAAGATTGTTCTGAAATCCTCAATAACTTTGAGAATGTCTAAATTTGAGATTTTAGAACCCAACTTAGAGTTGATGTTCACTTTGGAATTGAAACCTAGTACTATTCGCTTACAAACACCATCGTATTATCCATTTAGCTACTGAGTCCAGCTGACGAGTCCCAAATTGTATGAAACGCTTCTCCTGGATTCCACTGCTAGCCACTATTCATCTTTGCTTATAAAGACTTGAATTTATTGTACTGACTTAAAAAATATCACTGAATGACTCTTATTATATTATTTTGGAAATTTAAATGGATATTTGGATTGTTTTTATTCACTATTTTTAATTCAGATACAATGAATTCCGAATGGAAGCAATTCACAGAAAATAAACATGTGGTTATAGATACTGATCAGTTGTAGCCTTAATTATCAATAGGGAATTGTTATAAACGCCCAATAATACTTAAACACCCGTTGAATAACCTTCTGGCTACATGAACTTAGTTAGTTAATGAATAATATGTTGACATTTAAAGTGATTGATACTGTGTTTAATTGTTAGTGAGAACATGGATATTGGGACCCAGGTACATTTAGATTATATTAATATCTTGTGGTTAAAGACTATATCAAAGGAATCCATCCAGGATTTATAAATGCTAACAGAAACTGATCAATTAAAGTCTTAAATATCAACAATGAGATATTATAAATGCTTACTAATCAGTATTAATTTAAATTCAATTGGTATTGTTGGGGAGATTCTTAACAGTTTATAAAAATACGCCTAACTCTATCATCCCTAATAGAAAGTCCCTTGCTGAAGTAATGTTCGGATTATTATATTTGAAGCTATGTTACCTCTCAAACCAATGGATGGATGCAGATAAAATTAGAATATCCAAAGTTTTAACGTGGATGACAACGTGGTTTTCAAATCATACACTGGGGAAAATCGTTGTGAATCGCGAGTCATTGAAAAGAGAATGGGAAATGTTTTTTGCACATTGCGTGGGACTTTTGGGACGTGGATTAGATACATCAATCAAATACACAGAGAAAAAATGACGCTAAACACAGTAGATAGTCGAGTGGATCTTCTGCTAGAGATAATTACAGATACTCTAATGGCGAAAATTCCAATAAACACTCATAGGCGCTGGATACCAAGAAAGTCCGAACGTCACCGAAAACCAATTATCAAGCTGCAAGTAGATACGAAGACAAGATATTAATTTTGGAAAGGGAAGGTGCTGGGGAAATCCAAAAAACTCAAAAAAATCATCTAGAAAGTAAAAAGTTACATGTCAAGTTTCTGTTCGAATGATTACTTATACTGCTACTGTGTTTAGCAGCTCAGAACCAATTAGACGATTTAGACTTTACAGATGACCTAGCCCCCTACCCCATACACACTAACAAATGCAGATAAAGATAGTCAGTGTAGCATCAATCTTTGCATCAGTAGACCTCAACATACACAAGGGGAAAACCAAGGTCCTCGAATACAACACGGAGAGCACCAATCCAATCACTCTTGATGGCGAAACTCTGAAAGATGTAGGATCCTCCACATATCTGGGAAGCATCATCGATGAACAAGGAGGTTCAGATGCAGACGTAATGGCGAGGATTGGCAAAGCAAGGGCCACATTCCTTCAATTAAAGAACACATGGAACTCAAAACAACTTTCAACCAATATCAAAGTCAGAATCTTCAATACGAACGTCAACACAGTCAGTTATACTGTACGGAGCTGAAACGTGGAGAACTACAACAACTACCATCAAGAAGGTACAAGTATTAATAAAAAGTTGTCTACGCAAGATACTCAACATCCATTGGCCGGATACCATCTGCAACAGCCTTCTGTGGGAGAGAACAAACCAGCTTCTAGATGAAGAAGTTAGAAAAAGACGATGGAAATGGATAGGACATACATTACGCAACTCATCAAACTGCATCAACTTGGAATCCTGAAGACATGCGGATAAAAGGAAGTCCAATGAATACATTATGTCGGGAAATAGAAGCAGATGTGAAAAGGATGAATAAGAACTGGAAAGAGCTGGAAAGGATTGCCCAAGACAGAGTTGGATGGAGAATGCTGGTGAGCGGTCTATGCTCCTTCACGAGGAGTAACATACGTAAGTAAGTGACTTCTATGAATGATCTTTCTTTTAATCCTTTTTAATCATATTGCCTAGTTTCATTATGGCACGTTTCTTTTTTCTAACTGATAACAAAACTAAATGAAACATAAATCTCATATGAACAAATCTGATTTATTTCATTTGTATAATCTACAATTAGGTTTGTTATTATTTAAACATGTATATTGGTGTTAATATCGGTTTTATATGTAAAATAATAATAATATGCTTAACTGTACATTATATATATATATATATATATATATATATATATATATATATATATATATATATATATATATATATATATATATAGATAGATAGATAGATAGATAGATAGATAGATAGATAGATAGATAGATAGATAGATAGATAGATAGATAGATAGATAGATAGATAGATAGATAGATAGATAGATAGATAGATAGATAGATAGATAGATAGATAGATAGATAGATAGATAGATAGATAGATAGATAGATAGATAGATAGATAGATAGATAGATAGATAGATAGATAGATAGATAGATAGATAGATAGATAGATAGATAGATAGATAGATAGATAGATAGATAGATAGATAGATAGATAGATAGATAGATAGATAGATAGATAGATAGATAGATAGATAGATAGATAGATAGATAGATAGATAGATAGATAGATAGATAGATAGATAGATAGATAGATAGATAGATAGATAGATAGATAGATAGATAGATAGATAGATAGATAGATAGATAGATAGATAGATAGATAGATAGATAGATAGATAGATAGATAGATAGATAGATAGATAGATAGATAGATAGATAGATAGATAGATAGATAGATAGATAGATAGATAGATAGATATACATCGTTACTAATCATTGTGATCATTTGGTTTATTTATTTCCAATAAGCTGCATTTTATTAAACAAATTCATTATTATGATTTACATTTTATCGGATTCATTTGATGATTGTATAGATTCAGTTAAACAAGTGATAGTAGTTGTAGGACTTGATAGATCACAATTACTTGAATCAATTACTGTGTCTTGTTTTAATTCTTGTTGTTCTATATTAGATTGCATTGATGACTTCTTATGCATACCTATATTAGTAAAATATGAAAGAAAGTTCAACAAAAGAAAATTATTAAACAGAAGATAGATTTAAATGATGACTGAGGTTTGTAATAATTTTGACTAATTTATCAGTCTCCATGGTAACTAATGTTATGATTTCCTTATTATTACTTATACCTGTTACTCCTTATGGAGGAGCATAGGCCATCAACCAGCATTCTACATCCAACACTGTCCTGGACAGTTCTTTTCAGTTCTTTCCAGTTCCTATTCATTCTTTCCATGTCTGGTTGCAAGTTCCAACATAATGTGTTCTTTGGCCTTTCTCTTTTCCGTTTTCGTTCACGATTCCATTTTGGTGTTTGTCTCGTGATGCACTTTGATTATGCTCACAATCTTCATCCTATCCACCTTCAACATCTTTTTCCAATTTTCTCTTCATTTGGAAGATGGTTTGTTTTCTCCTACAGAAACTGTTGCCGATAGTTTCCGTTCAACAACAGACATTGAACATCTTGAGTGGACAATTGTTTATAAATACTTGCACCATTTTGGTGATGGTTGTGATAGTTCTTCAAGTTTGAGCTCCGTACAGTAGAACTGTCTTGACATTCGTATTGAAGATCCTGACTTTGGTGTTGGCTTACAGACAGTTGTTTTGAATTCCATACGTTCCTCAACTGTAGAAATGTCTGCCTTACCTTGTCAGTCCTTGCTTTTACATCCGCATCATATCCTTCTTGTTCATTGATTATGCTGTCCAGGTACATGAAAGTCTCCACCTTTCTTATCCTCAACACATCGAATTCCGTTTATTAAATTTGGAGTTTAGTTATTAAGTTAAGCAGTTCGATATTACGACACACATTTTCTTATTTAAAATAAATGAAGGAAACACGCTGGAAATATTACTAAACGTAATCCTTTTTAATATATACGGTGATTTAAATAATATCCAGGTGGTTTCTGAAGAAATACTTACGATTGAATTGATTAAAGTTACAAATATTAAATAAATCAATGGTTTAAGTAATAAGTGTTCTCTGTTAGAAGTTATAGTCCTGAAATCGATCTGCAGTTGGATTATGAATATGCACCGTCGACGAACCTCATACTAGATATAGACAACCATTCAATGCTACCTGGTTATTAGGGTTATCCCGGTCACTCTATAAAATAAACTTAAATGATCTGATCAAGAATTCGGTGAATGGCTATTCTGTTGGTTTATCGTTTCCATATGTCTATTTATTGGTTATACAACTTTTTAAATTGACGATGAAAGGGAATTATTGATGGAACTATGAATAGTAAGAAAGTGGTGAATATTTCTTATGGCATAATCTGTCGAAACGATAGAGCTTCGAATAAATGTTTCATCTCAAGTGGCAACTCTTCAACAAAATCCGGCTATGGTGAAATAAATCTTTCATGAACTCCGTTGTTAGGTGATTCAGGACATTCAAAAGTTACACCCTGCTGACGAGTGTCAATCATAACGAAACTTAAGTTAGACCGGATTCCTTGATGACTACCTCCAATAATCTAAAATCTCAACACAATACGTATGATGTCGACCAATTCATATTAGTGATCATATTACAACTTGATAAGTAGGATTTTATCGGCACTAATGGACTAGACAGACACGATAATTAGTGTTCAATGTATAAAGGTTGCTTAATAAATCATTTCTCAAAAGAAACTAATATCCCAAAGATTGTAGTTCTGCTCAGAGCAGAGTTTATTGTTGTATTATATTAACTTATTTAACTAAATTCACTACAGTACTGCAATGACATTGGTACGAAGGATACTTGCTTAAATAAAATGCAGAACCGCATGTATTTTATATCTAATATCAGAACGTGGAAATAAAAGTATCAGGTTGTAATTAGAATACATAAATACTGAAGTTATCTAACAAATAAACCTTTGTTTTTAATATTAACCAATTGAAGACGGATTAAGTTACATTGAGAACTTGAAATCGAATATAAAAGTTTGGTAATTATCAATATAGCGATTGTGGAGATCGCTGAATTGTGTCGAGGTCATTAAGTGATCCAAGCTAGGTAACCATTCAGAGTCTGTGAGCACTGGCATACCATTTCGTTCTAGCATGGAACTTCTCAAAAATATGCATCCATGACACTGCAACGGGACATCGTAGATTAGTTTAAGTTAGACTTGTACGCTAATAGATCCTGGCAAGGATTTCTAGGGTTAAAGCGTTCGTGCTCTAGACCGGAGGCCCTGTGTTCAGCCTCCAGTATAGAACCAATAATACACATTCCTGAGTAGCCCTGTGCTTGCACAAAATGGTATCTTAACGATCTCAAGCTGCCTATTGTTATCTAATTCAGATCGTTTCGTGATCTTGATAGAATTTGGTAGTTGTTTATTGAATATAAAATAAAGCTGATTCAATCCATAGTAAGAATCTGTAAGCAAAACCTTTAAAAATGAAAGGAGAGAATTGACTCTCCAAATACTGATATCAAATGAAATAGTTTGGTAAATATATCATTTCAGGTTATCTGAGCTGTTGTGTTTGAATTGGATCCTAACTTTAACCATTTTTAAGTACATCAAATATTGAAAATGGAATGACACTGATCAAAATCTTCTTATCTTCTTCTAGAATATTCCAGTAACTTACATCTGTAATTTATCTTACAATGGGATCATTATCTTTAGTTTCCATAGTTAGTATTAAATTAGTACTAAATTAAAAGTTTGATGATGAAGAGCTGGACAAAAGGCTTGAAGGTCTTGAGTTTGGTTTCTAGTATAGCACTGGGTAAAACTAAAGGGAATGTTATTTAGTTGTCCTATATCATTAAGTTGATTTAAGCGATTGACGAAGACTAATTTTAAAATTAACAATTTTCATAATTAAACTAATTAGTTAATTAATGCTAGACCACCATAGAAAACCTGGAAGCATTGGATGGCCATTTCATCCCAGTATGAAACTCCTCAGCTGTGCCCATCTACGATCCCACTCGCGGGACTCGAACCCAGGGCGTGGCGAGTCAATGCACGAACACTTAACCTTCAGTCTATTGAGCCAGTGTCTAACAGTTTTAATCTCTAACTTCAATCAACCCACGAAATTATGCACACGAAACCGATACGTCCCGGGTTCGAATCCCGAGAGGCGGGATCATGGATGAGCATTGCCGAGTAGTAGTAATCCCATCATAGAACAAAACACCTGTCCAGTACTCCCAGGTTTTCCATGATGGTCTAGCTTTAATTGACTCATGAACTCCACCATAAAATTACAAAACCCCTTTCTAAACAATTATAATTAATATTTCCATTTGAATATCGAAATTTTTTTAGTCCGTATGTTGTTGTTATTCGGAAATTGTAGAACACACAAACCAACAAGCACACAATTCTTTCTATACACATAACATTAAGAATCAAGAGTTAATTTGCAAAAAAACACACAAAGACCGAATATTAAAAATCAACCTGATAATGACCAACTTAAAAATTAGCGTAAAATATGTTATCAAAAGAAATTTTTTTTATTTATTCATTCTTAATTACTCGAAATTATCATCATCTTGTACCTCCATTCTCTTCAATTAAGTAATAATCTATAATTCTTTCATGTCTGTTGATTAACCTTTATTTTCAATCAGTAATAGACCTAACAACAATGTGTCGGGGGAAGGGGAGAAACATTCACACGCTTATTTACTCTCTCACGTATGTATACCCATTTAACATCCCTAACATTTAGTTAGTTAGTTAGTTAGTTAGTTAGTTAGTTAGTTAGTTAGACAGAGAGAGATGGGACGTAAAACGTTAGTAACAATTTAGCAAAATAAGGTGCATTTTTTGTTTTAATCATAGCCTTAGAAAAATTATTAAATAAAGAAAGAATTCAATATGGCACCCCATGATGTGAAATTCAGTAAAATTTGAATCGATTTTACAATTAAAAAAAATAAATAACTTTATTTTTCCCCGGCAAAACTATATTCTTATAGATATACACGGGAATTAAGACTTCCTGTAGAGTTGTTGTTATCTAACTAGTATGTAACTAATTCTAATTATTATTACATTATTGTAGCTAAGGCATTTAATTATAACGTGTATTATTTGTCTATGCCTGTATATATATATATATATATCCACTTATAAAGCATATACATACATTCATTAACTAAATTCTATTATCTTATTATAATTACATACTTGTGAACTATTAAATAATCTTTAATGAATAAAGTTAAAACTATGCATAGCGTGCATTATTATCATTAGTGTGTGTTGTCATTCTTTTTTCCATCTTTTTTTAAAAATAATTAATTATCTCTCACTCTCTCATTTAATTTTGTTCTTTTCTTATTATGAAACTTTTATTTTCCTGTTTGATTGTCGTATATCTTTTTTTCTTCTCTTTTCTTTACTTCACTCTCCTTCTCTTTATTAAGCTTCATTTCATTTAGTTATTACTATTATTATTATTATCATTATTATTGTTATTATTATTATCAGGAAATGTTCATCTCAATTTAACTTATTTAGATACAAGAATGTTCATTATGTTAACTATGTTAGTTTATAGTTCATATACTTTATTATTAGTCTTTCCATAATATATCCTTTATACATGTTATCTATGCATCTATGTATATGTATCTATATAAATAAACGACTATATATATATATATATTATATATATTTGATGTCAGTTATATAACTTTATTAATAGGCTAATATCAAGAGGAAAGAATGGAGATGATGTAATATTTATAAGCAAAGATGACTAGTGGTTAGCAGTGGAATAGAGGATGTGCATTTCATTCTATTTGAGACTCATCTGCTGGATGTACCTCTATCTCAGAGTTGATATTCAACTCTGGGACTCGAACTTAGTACCGTTCGCTTCAAATGTCATCGTTTTATCCACTTAGCTATTGAGTCCTGATAGCCGTTTGCTTGTGCAATGAGGTGAAGTTTAATTCACTTGATATTGTTTTACTTGAATCATCCCATTGATGTTTTAGGACTGAAATTATCGAGGCCATACGTACAGTATGCACATTTGCCAATAAGAGACTGATCAATTTCAATCCTAGAACATCAATCGGAAGTTTCAAGTAAAACAATACAAAGTGATGTAATATTTGGTCTAATAAAATTATAAAGTAAAAGAGATAAGAAACGATTTAAAAGTATGTAAATTGGCTAACAACCACTTCATTCTTTTTGTTTCAAATACAATTGATAGACAGTAGTTTATTTTAACCATCAAAATTTTATTTAATTTTATGATGTTAAACAGTAAGTATCGAATTGAAAGGTGAAAGGTAAGTAAGTAGATAGATAGATAAATAGAGGTGTATATCTTATTCTTCTAGTATTTAGATCTATCATGGGTGGTGTAATGTTAATTAATGACAGTACGTAGTCTAATTCACATAAGAACGAAGAGGTGGATCAACTTAGAAGAATATACAATGGATATTATTTTATCAGATAGATAAGTGGGAAAATCAAGTTTTTTTTAAGGTGATAAAAAGAACGAACTGAATAAAGCCATTCAGGGAGAAATGTTTAAAGGTAAGGGAAATTAAAAACAAATTATTAAGGACAACCAATCAATCAATTAATTAATTAATTAAAACATATATATATTCGTTCATTCTTTCACCCCTCTCATTTATTATAAACGCAATCATTATTTCCTGACATAACACTCATAATTATAGTTTAAGTAAGTATTGAATATATGAAAATATCTGAATCCACTTATCTAAATACTTTGTGTTTTCATGATGCCTCTTGTATATCCCCATATATCCATATATGTATTTCAGTCTTTATTCATGATTACATAAGGTAAATTCATTGGAAATGTTTACATTTAATAAGTGTATATGTATATTTCTTTTATGTTTATTTGTATGTGTGTATGTTTGTATGCAAGATAAATTGGAAGTGGTCAATCATATAATGGGAAGTCGATTATTGTTATTGTTATTATGTTGATAAGATAATAATAATTAGAACGGTAAGTTATTACTATCTTCATCCTTATATTGAAATTGTTTTTTCTCTCGTACATAATTTCCTGTGTATATCTCACAATACATTGATTGATTAGTTGATGGACTTTAAGGTGTATTTAGCTTATAATAGGCAATTAGTAATAACTAATAATAATAATAATAATAATAATAATAATAATAATAATAATAATAATAATAGTAATGCTTATATATATTGGTTGTTCGGATCTTCCCATCAATGTTTCAAACTGTGATTGATTTGTCTTCTTTAGCATTTTATGCATATTCCATTGATATCACCGTTAAGAAATGGATAATGGGTAATAATAGAGAAAGGCTCTTGGTTTCAGTCCCGGTGTGAATATCAGCTCTGAGATACAGGTACATCCAACTGATGAGTTCCAGATATGAAGAATCGAGTGTCTCGAGTTCCATTATTATACGGTTTCATAAGGATCTTGGGGTGATAGTGAGTCATGATCCTAAGACCACGGCCCATTGCCAGGAGATCTCAGCTAAGGGGTTTCGAACCCTCTGGGCTTTATGATGGACATTCACTAAGTTAGATACTATAATGTCCACTATAGTATACACAACCTTAGTGGGAATTAAGCTTGAGAACTGCCTTCAGGCTACAAAACCCTGTTTAAAAGGTTACTCGGAGATCCTGGAAAAAGTACAGAGGGTAGCTACCCGTGTAATTCCAGAACTCCGGGGTTTACCATACAAAGAGCGGCTTGAAAAGCTAGACCTCTTTACTCTGTCCTATTGCAGATTAAGAGGTGATCTTATTTTGATGTATAGAATACTAAGAAATGATTTTGGACTTAATATGTTCTCTCCTTTTCTTCCCACTAGATCCGAACATCTCAGAGGATATAGCAGGCGAGTAGAAAAGCTAAGAACGAACAAAATACCCGTGGCATACAGGTTTTCTCACCAAGTTATCAATTCTTGGAACCTGTTACTCGAAGCAGTGGTGCCCGCATCTGCAATTGACGCATTCAAGACTAGACTAGACACTCATAGAAGTATACTAAAAAAAGAACAACATTGGCCGTAGGCCTTCTGTCCTTACCACACAAACCTGAATCTGAATTCATCTTTCTGTAATAGTATTAGTAACAATAATCTTATCCTTATCATATGAACATTTATAAATGAAATGAATCTTTTTCATCTTTTGTATATATCAAGTGTATACTTATCATGCAAATACACACAAATACACATATGCACATTGTAAACATCTAATTACTTTTGTGTATCTGTGTTCGTTTACATATTATTATTATTATTATTATTATTATTATTATTATTATTATTATTATTATTATTATTATTAAAATCGATTTATGTGTGGGAAGATTGTTATTTTTAAGATAGTTGTTCCCGTTCATATATCCAAGTTAATCTTAATTTTGATGGAGTTTTGTCCTCTGAGCTGGATGGTTTAGTCGTGGAGCTTTCATTGTTCTTCTGAACGACATCATCAGCACAAACTTTAGTATCATAAAACAAATTTAATGCATAAATCTCTATTATCTATCTAAGTAAATAACCATTCACTGGGAATTAGTGACTGATTTAGAATTGGGCTTTTCAAAACTCTCGTAAAAAAGTACTACGAGTTAATTGATTTGAAAATGAAATCGAATGGGAGATACAACCAAAGTAAAGAAGAAAACAATAACTGGTTAGAGGTGAACAATAACCAATCTTATATCGATGTCTACAGGACAAGTTGTGAGCCATATGTGGGGAAACTCGTACTGATGATTTTGCTCAGGATAACGATGAAATCTCCACGACCAAACCATCAAGCTCAGAGAACAATACTCTATCATAATCATCCACCTGAGTGACAAATCTTCCCCACCATCTCGAAATCAGTTGATGGTTACTCATGCTATATTATCAAGTGACTGAAGTTGGAAATTGTGATTTACGTGATTTCGTGGAGTTCCAACTCAGTGGTTATATGACATCATTCATACTTGTAACTTAATTCGTGATATGATCGACTATTGTTATAATAGTCTGAAAACTGGAAATTTCCTGTTGACTACTAAATGAACTAGTTGTAACATAGAGCTGTATTCAGAAATTATAATGCCTTGAATGTTTTGGTGATATTAACAGGATTGTTATTAACAATTTTTTTGAAGATATTCTTTTCATAGAATGTTAAATGATAGTCTCATTGAATTAGGGGACTTTTTTCGAATCCTATTAATAGTGACTGAAATCGCTTCGGTGATCTTAATGATCAAAATTACAGAATTACTTAGTGAAATCTCAGAACCATACAATAAATACTTCACTTGCAAAATGTCAATCAGTCGTCTCAGATTTCATTGTTCTTTCGTTTCCACACCAATCATTCCTTGTTCTCGTTCTCTTTGCTTCGAGCTTCTTAATCTTCTACTACGAGGTATATCACTTTCGATTGATAATATATACTACTTATATCTGTCGACGTCGGTAGCACACACCACACAACCAGTTTACTTTCATAATAATAAAATAATGATTTTCAAGACATGTTCTTTATGTGTATATCTTCCAGGTGAGAATGATGTAAATCAGAAGGGGTTTTGTGGAGATTTTTAGAAAGTTCAATAGTTGAAATCATGAGTCAATTGAAAATAGATCACCATGGAAAATCTGGAAGCACTGGACGGCCGTTTCGACCTAGTATGGGAATCCTCAGGAGTGCGCATCCACGATCCTGCCCCCCGCGACACTCGAACCCAGGACCTATCAGTCTCGCGCGCGAGCGCTAGGACGAAACGTCCGTCCAGTGCTTCCAGGTTTTCCATGGTGGTCTAGCTTCAATTGACTGATAATTTCAACCAGTGAAATTATTTAAATATTTGAGAGTATACAACTTTAAGGTAATAGTCATGTATGACGAAACCGTCAAATGACTAATATTCCATATTATACCATTTGGTATATGATATTTGTGGAGTTTACCACATTTTATAGTTTACATTAATGACTAACCTTTTTTCAACCTGAAAACCTTTGATAACTGTCTCCTCCTATTATGGAACTCTTTAAGAACACGTACTAATGACCCCACCTCAATCAACCGTACCCTGCACTTTCAAATCTCAAGAGGAGGATATAGCTTTATACACTTGGTATTACGGATAATTAATCAATCTAAATTGAAAAAACACAGTTTTTCCACTGTAAATTACCTAACAACCATGGTGCACATGACTCGTCATTATTATCCAAAGCTGATTTAAGTATTGTTTTAGGTAAAGGCAGTGAATGTCGAACCATAGCTCCATACAAACCATATTCAGCCATAATACTACTTTTACCCCATTTCTTTTCTGTTTTACGCCATTTTGCTCGTCGATTTTGAAACCAAACCTGAAACAGGGTAAATTAAAGAGGATATTTGATAAATTTGTTGATAATTATAAGATCGTAGATGCACTCTGCTGGAGAGTGCCACAATAAGACAAAACGACCGTCCAGTGCTTCCAGGTTTTCAATGGTGATCTAACATCAATCGGTTCATGATCTCAATCAAAAACTTAATAATCTCCACAACCCCGAAACTGATAATTTTCATGTGCTCACTAGTGACTAGCTTCGTGAGAAAATTCTCCCAGTTCTAGTGAGAAACCGTGACCAGTGGAGCTAATCCGTGCCAGGTAGAGACAGGTATCTACCTCAGTACAATGAAAGATGGTTGCGTAACTTCGTGGATTATTTGAGGTTAGACATTAAGACCATTGGATGCCAGCCTGCTCAGTGGTCCAGTAGGTTAAGCGTTCGCTCGTGAGACTGAAGACCCTTGGTTCGAATCCCGCTCGCGTGATCGTGGATGCGCACCGCTGGAGAGTCCCACAATAGGAAGAAACGGCCTTCCAGTGTTTCCAGGTTTTCAGTGGTGGTCTAACATCAATCGGTTCATGATCTCAATCAAAAATAATAATAACCAGTTAAAAAACACGAAGTTTAGTGAAGGGATCTCTTTTCAATGAATTCATTATCATCGTAGTACATTCACGGTATACTACCTTATTAAGTCTATTGCTATTATTCGTATCACATAATCTGGTGTTATAATCCTTCTATTACGTCATCTTGGTTATTTGAATTCAATTAATAATTAGTTGATGAATTAGCCAAATTGTAGGTAACAAATGCATACACAATTATAAGACTCAAAGATTTCATTAATGTTCACTAACAGTGCTAAATTTATCACTTTCCATCATTCTTCACAGTCTGTCTAGTGGATGAATACCATATATTAGTGTAATTTATATTGAATATTTCCTTTCGAACCCTAACATTTAACGTATATTTGTTTTTCATCTAGGATATTAAACTGAGTCACAATCAATAGGTTCATAGTAGATGAAAATAACTTCAATCTCTTGAAATAAAATCTTTATTGAAAATTACTCTTCAATCTGGAGCACTCATCTACTAGATGAATGATAAAGTAATTGAATGTAATGAATATATCATAATCAGTCCATATTGAAAACGTTGAAGATGTCCTCAGTCGTTAGTATATTTACTGGGATAAAAATAAAATTCTTCATCCTGATGTTGTTAATGAAAATGCATTGAATTGTAGAAATTAGTATTGTCCCAACACTTAGTATTAGAAGTAAAAGTACATAAGTTCTATCCTTAAACAGTCAAACATTGAAATGGATAAATTTATGTAGACTTGTAAAGTATTTAGAATAATACATCTTAAACTAAGATTCCACTGTAACATGAATAGATCTATTTGTTATATCCCAATGAGGATAATGAATGATAACTGTTGGAATCTATTTCTGAACTAATACTATACGTATATTTCTTATTGTATGAATGTTAAATAACTAAACTATTCATATTCGTTTTTCTCTTATCATAAGTTTTATTTTGACCCATAGACTATTATTATACGATTTACCATTCTTGAGTTATGCCCAGTCTATCAATCACTATCTCCCACATTCACACCCACTTTTGGCTAAATGTTGTACAAGAGCTGTTTTCTATTTTATGGTACAATGTGGTCTGTTTGGTTTGTATATATACCCAGTGTGTTTGAAATATATGATTCATACCGTAGAGGCTGAGATTTGTGTTCTGGACTTAACAGGCAGAACTAGGCTGGAAGAAGGACCAGTACAGACTCTAGACTATCCGGACGGGTTTTATGCGTCATTGATCTGGTCGATAATTCACTGTTTTCCAAATGGCGGTATCATTACGTTATTGCTGGGGACGTTAGATCCCCAGAACTCACTTGGAAAAGGACCTAATTTCGTAATTTTATCTAGAAAATTTGAATTTCTTTGTTTTCGCGCCAAAAGCACTATTGTCACCTTCATGTCGTATTTCCGACTTGAGAAATATCTTGAATGCTATTGGTCCGTTGCGTCTTTTAGTATGCTATTTGGTAACTCTCCCCGAGGACGGTTTTGTGCTGTATATATACGTTTTGATTTGTGCTTGTTGGTATCGCTCATTTCTGACTGTTTGCAGAATATACTTCTCCATTCCAAGCTTGGACTTCTTTCTCTAGTTAGCGGGGTTGGGACTCATCAGAATATCTAGCTTATTGGTCTTTGGTCAGAAGGGGTTTTGTGGAGATTGTAATAATTTCAATGGTTAAGATCATGAGTCACTTGAAGCCAGACCACCATGGAAAACCTGGATGCACTGGGCGGCCGTTTCGTCCTATTATGAGACTCCTCAGCAGTGCGCACCCTGTGGGATTCGAACCACTAGACCACTGAGCCGGTATCCAACGGTGTTAATGTCTAACTTCAACTAATCTCTGTTCTAGTTCGCAGATTAAGTGAACTCGTGATAGCCTTAAATCTAGCAGTTATACATTGATAGGGACACAAACCCACAAGTTATAACACTATTCTTCCTTACTGTCAAAGAAATATCATGGTAAGATTTCTGGTAATATGCACATATTTGTATGCAGAGTTTATGAATCAATACAAACCTTATAAATTAATATTTCGAACTATATTTTTAGGTGATTGAAATCAGTTACTAGGATACCATGTGAATAGGCTTCATGTTGCTTGGTACTTGTTAGTATAGTTACTACAATCTTGAGCGAATTTATATTCTCTGAAGCATTTGATACCATATTAGCAAGTGTAAGATTAAATTTTATTAAAACTGAACTGCCTAATCCATCGCTCACCTCCTGTGATACTGAGGTATTCATATAAGACGATGACTACATGACAATCAATATCATATCTGTTAAGTCTTTAGCTCTGATAAATTTCTGTCGATGAGGTTACCTCAGTATTTATTTAAGCTTGTAGAAACTAATATTATATTTAGTTAGGGTTCAGAACTTGCAACCGATCGTCCACAACCATATAAAACATGAGATATCGAATAACTTAAACTAATTGCTATGTTGCAATATAATCTGTTCAACTCAATCAGAGCTGAAGGACTATGAAAATATGATATTAATCACTAATCAGTGACATGACAGTTGTAAATATCAATCCTACAGAATATCAATCGTAGCATCAATAGTTCAGTTAGGGCCTCTCAGAATATGAAGCTTGATGCTGTAGTGAACAAGAACGCGAGTAGGAACCATCTAGTAAATCGTTAATTTGCAAAATATCAATCCATCATCTCAAACTTTACTGTTCCTGTTGCAAAAATCAATCAGTTGTCTCAGATTTTATTGTTCATGCGTTTTCATACCAATTGCATTCCGTTCCCGTTCTTTACCTATCGATCTTCTACTGAAATACATTCTATGCCTGACCACCGTTATATACTACTTATTTGAATATAAGTAACCCATATCACAATACAGCTTCGAATTTTATAAGAAACATCAATTTAATCGAAATTGTCAGTATACCTTATTGATAAGTCCCAAATAACCCGAAACCTATGTTTAAGGTTTCCTGCTGATTAATTATAATAACTTAACTTTTAAACAAAGACCATTCATCAATAAGATAAAACCAAAAACAAACAAACAAAGTAAAATAAACAATTAAAAACACTTGTATTTACTTGAATTCTATCTTCAGGTAATTCAGCTTTCATAGATAATAATTCACGCTGATAAACATCTGGATAATGGGCTTCATGGAATGCTTTCTCTAGTTCATTTAATTGTCCACTTGTAAATATTGTTCTAAACAAAATATACATATTCAATAGAAGTGATCAATATAAATAGGAAAGAGAAAAAAAGAGAACAGTAATTAACAAACTTTCATAAACAGTTCCTCAATATACACATGAGCGAAAACTAAGATCTTCAAATATAACACAGAGAACACTAACCTAATCACATTTGATGGTGAAACTCTAGAATGGGTGGAAACTTTCTCGTATTTGGACAGTATGAACGGTGGAGAATTTGATGAAGATATGAAGGTAAGGATTAGCAAACTAAGAGCAACATTCCTACAGTTAGAGATTATGTGGAACTCAAAACAACTTTCAACTAATATCAAAGTCAGAATCTTTAATATGAACATCAAGATAGTCCTACTGTACTGAACTTAAACTCGGAGAGTGACTACAACCATCATCAAAATGGTACAGATATTGATAAACAATTGTTTACACAAGATATTCGATATCCGTTATTGATAGGATATCATCAGCAACAGTTTACTGTAGGAGAGAACAAACCATCTTCCAAATGAAGATGAAATTGGAAAAAGATGTTGAAAGTGGATAGGATGAAGATTGTGAGCATCATCAAAGTGCATCACGAGGCAAACACCAAAATGGAATCGTGAAGGGAAACGGAAAAGAGGAAGGCCAAAGAACACACTACGTCGAGAAGTGGAAGCAGACATGAAAAGAATGAATTAGAACTAGAAATGATTTTCCAGGACAGTGTTGGATGTAAAATGCTGATGGGTGGCCTATGCTCTAAACATCTGATGATAAACCGTAAATTATAATGTTTTCACGATTTTTGTAAATCTTTTTGTTGAAACATTAACTGTATGTTGCATCAGGGATCATTTATATAATCATTCAGTTATCTCACAAAATTTTTGTAAAATTTAAGATATTTGGTTAATTAATCAATAATGAGATATCAAGAGTTTGTTCATAATCGGACTGGTGATTATTTTAAATAGAAGACAGTTTATTGACACAGATTGTAATTTAATTTTTCTGTTAAATCAATGTATATCTACTATCTCTTCGGTTTACTTATATACCATTATGTAGTTTTTGAATACAGCTGGACGATCTAAACTTCTCAAAGGACCTGTCTATTCTATCGTACACGCAACAACAAATGCAGAAGAACACGACCAGTGTAGCAGTAGCCTCAGCAGCAGTAGGTCTCAACATACATAAAGGGAAAAGCAAGATTCTCCAACACAACAAAATATGCAACAATCCAATCACACATGATCGTGAAGATTTGGAAGATGTAAAAACATTTACATATCTGGACTGCATCATTGGTGAGCACTGTGAATCTAATGCAGATATGAAGGAGCACATCGGCAAAGCAAGAGCAACATATCTACAATTGAAGAATATCTGGAACTCAAAACAACTGTCTGTCAAACAACATCAAAGTCGGAATTTTCAATTCAAATGTCAAGACAGTTCTACTGTATGGGGCGGAAACCTGGAGAACGACGAGAGCCATCATTCAGAAGATACAGGTGTTTATTAACAGTTGTCTACGCAAAATACTTCGGATCTGTTGATCAGACACTATCAACAGCAGCCTACTGTAGGAGAGAACAAACCAGATTCCAGGAAGGAAGGAAGGAAGGAAGGAGGAAGAAATGAGGGAGAAGCGCCGGAAGTGGATAGGACACACATTGAGGAAATCACTGAACTGCGTCACCAGCCAAGCCCTCACATGGAATCCTCAAGGCTAAATGAAGGAGGAGAGGAAGACCAGACAACACATTACGCTAAGAAATGTAGACAGACATGAGAAGAATGAACAATAATTGAATAGAACTAGAAAGGAAGGCCTAGGACAGAGTGGGTTGTAGAACGCTGGTTGGCAGCCCATGCTCCGTTGGGGATAACAGACGTACAAAAAAATTGTATTAGCAAAGATTATTACTTGATAGTATATGCAATTCATTATTAAGTATCAGCTTCCAGATCACTGAATAAAATAAATGAGTCATTACCACACTACCTTACATTAACACTGCACAATAAACGTGTTTGAAATGAATAAGAACTAGAAAGAGTAAATGGATATTTTGCAATATAGCGTCCAAGATTAGAAGGGCGATACACAGTTAGTTTACTAGTGTCATGATTTACAAATAAGTTTGAAACCTACAGGAAAGTCTTTACTAACAACATATATATATATTTCGGGGATAAATTATCATAGCTAATTGACTTACCTATGTCTTCTTCGTTTGCTTGGTTTAACACTGTTGTTATTGTTATCATTATTATCATTATCATCATCATCATTGAAGCTATTACCATCCTCATCATCATGATCGTTACCATCGACATTGTCATCATCACCGTCATCACCATTGAGTTTTAACAATACATTATCCCGATTCATATAATTTGTCAGTATTTCAATTTTGTTAGATGATGAAATATGACTTGATGTATTGTTACTTTTCCTATGTAGAAAATTAGTAGAATTTGTCTTTCTAGATTTAGTTTTATGCTCACGTATGTTAGTATTACTACTGCGATTACTTTTATGTTTATAAGTAGTATTGCTACTGATATTAGTAGTTGTAGTAGTAATAGTAGAATTATCATTATTAATTCTGGAAATGATATCAGTAGTAGAAACAGCAACAGAATCAACACAACTTGTATCAACTGATTTATTTATCAACTTAACAAGATTATCTGAAGCAGTATAGTTCAGTGAAAGTGAAGACTGTGAATGAGCACCTTGTCTATTATTAACTTCTGTACAATTATATGACAGATTCCTGTGAGAATTATCACAAGTATAAGGGTTATATTGCTTTTCTAATGATTGATTATTCAGTAAAGTGAATGAGGGAAATAAATATGGAACAGATATGGCTGATGGTAGTAACGTTGCAGATGATAACTCATTATTTTCATATATTGGCTCATTTTGTGATGAATGATTGACAAATTCTGAATGGGGATTACAAACATCAGCAATTGATGTAAGGGATGGTTGAATAGAAGAACTAATATAACTTTCGAATTTAGTATTGAAAAGAGTTTCTGTCATAAAAAAATATAGTAGAATAAAGATAAAGATAAACCCATCTTTTATTTCAGTAAAAAGAAAAGCACACAAAAAACAATTTCAATCAATTCAAATGACAAAACTGAAGTTTTTGATTGAGATCATGAACTGATTGATGTTAGACCATCATGGAAAACCTAGAGGCTAAGAGTTCGCTCGCGAGACTGAGGACCATGGGTTCGAATCCCGCGAGCGAGATCATGCATGCGCACTGTTGAAGAATCCCACAATAGGACGGAACGGTCGTTCAATGCTTCCAGGTTTTCCAATGATGGTCTAGCTTTAATTGATTTATGAATTCAACTATTAAAATTACTATAACATCCACAAAAACCCTTTCTGATTAAAATTCATCTGTATTCAGTGATTTTATTTATATATTTATTTAAACACATAGGTATTGGAGCAAGGAGGCACCAAATATATATGCGCCACACAAATCAAATGGGATTTGTGTGAGGGCTGTGATACTACCCGAGTGCCCAAACTGAAATGGGTGGTTTTATTAGGAGGTCACACCCGGAACATTCAACCTAAAGGTCTGGTCCACAAGGCAGTGGAGCATCGTAAGGAGACGCAGTCTCATGGTAACCGGTGACCAACAATTGATTCATAAGCCATTTGTCCCCTCAGGATCCTGGAGTCCATGTGCACCATTGATTTATAATCAGAGTTTTCCAACTCCCCTAGGTGGACTCTCCGTTTCCACCAACCCGATTAAAGCGCAGGACACTCGCTTTTCGTAAACAACACCCCGGCCACAAGGAGGCAATGAGTAGGACTTCCCTGGTAGTGGTTCAGTCAGTAATAAATGTTTATCAAAAATCAGATCAGAATTGTATTCTGATCTAAAAAAAGAACATTAATGGGATGTAAAATGATTTTTAGATAGGAAATATAACAGAATAAAATGAAGTAACAAATGGATGTTAAATATTATGAAATGGAAAGACATTTAGAACTATAATAGAATGAGGAATTGAACATGGCACATTTTAAGTTTATCTACACTTCTTTCAGTTCCTAGACAGCTTTTGTTTGATTGTAAAGTTTAACATAAATGATTAATTACTGATATTTGACACTTTGATGATGACAGTTACGACAATTAATACGGAACAATTATCCCATTATATTGTTAATTAAATGAAGTTTTGAATAATATACCGAAGGATTCACTTGGTATTGTTGGTTTGAATCTCCCCATTGATGTTTAAGACTGCAATCGATCAGTCTCTTATTGACATATGGGCATACTGTGCGTATTGCCTCGAATTTAAACTTCATCCCATTGTATAAGCAAGTGGCTGCCACGTCTTAGTAGCTAAGTGGATAACGCAGCGTCTTTTGAAGTGGACGGTACTGAGTTCAAGTCCCACAGTGAATATCAACTCTGAAATGCAGATACATCCCGCTGACGAGTTCCAACTGCTAGCCACTATCTAACTTTGCTTATAATATACCGAATGGTTATATGAATAAACTAACACATGTCAATTGTTTATCTAACTATTTTTACTATTCAGACCTCTATGTCAACATCAGTTTGTTGATGCATATATACACATTAGTCATGAGTATTTTCGTACATCATTCCTATGTCGTCTTCTTTCTCTTTTTTATTTGATTAGTCTAACTTCAGAATTATGCATTCTAACTGAACCAGCCAACAATTCTATGATATTAATTTAATTACAGAGTATAGATTCAGTGAAACATGAAACACAACACAGATATGACAGATATGAATAAAGTTGAATCTATTTAATATTCCCTAGTTTTCTTTTCCTTTTAAACTATCCTCCATTAAATGATAGGAATTCAGTCAAAAAATATCATCTATAGGACAATTTTAAAGTCATTAGGAATTAAGTAGTAATTTGTTAGCTTCCCTTTCACTCTCTGTTCTTTAATGGATTATTCAAACCCTTTCTAACTTTATGAATACTAACACATACTTCAATATTGAAAAGAAATATGAATTCGGGATTGTTTTCTTTTTCATTATAAATAGGTGTTAATTAGAGAAAACATGAAAAGAACTCATACATACATTAAAGTTGTCATTTCATTTTAATAATATATCATGTTAGATATTAAATAAATATTATTACCCCTCTCTGATTACGATCATCATATGCTCACTAGTGACTGGCTTCAAGAAGGTATTTCCTGGAGTTCGGGTGAGAAGCAGTGACCAATGGAGTTCAACCGGGTCAGTTGTGAGATAGTAACTCACTGAGAACAATGGTGGATATGTCGCTCAACTTCGTGGATTAATTGAAGTTAGACATTAACACCATTGGATGCCAGCTGGTTCAGTGGTCTAGTGGTTAGGCGTTCTCACATGAGACAGCTAGGTCCTGGATTCCACTCTCGCGGGGGTAGACGGGATCGTGGATGCGCACTGCTGAAGAGTCCTATACTAGGATAAAACGACCGTCCAGAGCTTCCAAGTTTTCCATGGTGATCTACCTTCAATTCAATCATTAAGTTATTGAAATTTTGTTTATGAATCCATATTTTCTTCAAAGTATTTCATCCTAGTTTGAGATTCATCAGTATTACACACACTCCTAAATGAGATCGATTTCATGAAACTCAAGTTTTATAATGACCACGCTTACATTTCAAATATATAAGAATCTCTACAAGATTTAGGTAAATTGGTAATGATTTGATTTATTTCGTTGTTGATATTTTGACAGAATTTTGGTCAATCTTAGTTGATATCAATGCATCCTATAAGGATATTATGACACAAGTCTATAAATAATAGATGGAATATGGCTAGCAGTGAAGTTCCAGAATCCCGTTTCGTCCTGCCTAGGACTCTTCAGTTAAATGTACCTTCAATTATTAAAATTCGACAATGGGATAATCCTAAACCATTAGGTTAAAATTAATACCAGTTGAAAAAGTGAGAAGCTTTGTAGATTCCGTAGCCAAGTGAATTACTATTGGTTTTTTAAGCTAAAAGTACTGGGTTCGAATCATGGAGAAAACATTAATACGTGTGAGTCCCAAATGGACTGAAATGCAAGTTCTATATCCCGTTGTTGATCACTATCCAAATTTAACAAATCCTTTTACTAGACTACCTATATTATCTATGGATCCAAATCAGTCTAAGTTTTTTATCTTTTCATCGATCTATCAATAAAAGAAATCAACAAGATAAAGAGAGAATAGGGAATAATAGTTTTAACATCAGTGTAAATTTAGATATAAGGGGAATAGTTTAGAAAGAAGTGGAGAAGATTTGCAGCTCAGATGGATGATTTTGACAGAGTTTTGTTCTCTGAGCTGAATGGTTTGGTCGTAGAGCTTTCATCGTTCAACATCAAGGTCTACAGGACAAGCTGTGAACCATATGTGGAGAAATTCAAACACTTCACTTCTACCTGAAGTTTTGTACTGATGATGTCGTTCAAAAGAATGATGAAAGCTCCACGATCAAACCACACAACTCAAAGAACAAAACTCCCTTTTAAATGATACTACAAGATTCATATATTTCATTAATTGAAAAGTGTATTGTGATCACTAAATATCTTCGGCTTCTTCATTTTCCTATTTTATAAAAAGTTAACAACCCTAGTTACATCTTTCTTATCATTTAACCCTAAACCGAAACTCAATTTGTAAACAGGTTTATTTCTTTGAATAAAAAATCCTATATCTCAGTGACTATAGTTTCCACTATAGATTCTATGATACAGCACAACATGCAACAATCCAATCACACATGATCGTGAAGATTTGGAAGATGTAAAAACATTTACATATCTGGACTGCATCATTGGTGAGCACTGTGAATCTAATGCAGATATGAAGGAGCACATCGGCAAAGCAAGAGCAACATATCTACAATTGAAGAATATCTGGAACTCAAAACAACTGTCTGTCAAACAACATCAAAGTCGGAATTTTCAATTCAAATGTCAAGACAGTTCTACTGTATGGGGCGGAAACCTGGAGAACGACGAGAGCCATCATTCAGAAGATACAGGTGTTTATTAACAGTTGTCTACGCAAAATACTTCGGATCTGTTGATCAGACACTATCAACAGCAGCCTACTGTAGGAGAGAACAAACCAGATTCCAGGAAGAAAGGAAGGAAGGAAGGAGGAAGAAATGAGGGAGAAGCGCCGGAAGTGGATAGGACACACATTGAGGAAATCACTGAACTGCGTCACCAGCCAAGCCCTCACATGGAATCCTCAAGGCTAAATGAAGGAGGAGAGGAAGACCAGACAACACATTACGCTAAGAAATGTAGACAGACATGAGAAGAATGAACAATAATTGAATAGAACTAGAAAGGAAGGCCTAGGACAGAGTGGGTTGTAGAACGCTGGTTGGCAGCCCATGCTCCGTTGGGGATAACAGGCGTAAGTAAATAAGTAACAGTTTCTATCATAATATTAAGGTCGTTAATGGTGAATTTTATTGTTATAAGTGCTATGTTTGAGGAGATTATGAAATCATCTAATTCGGCCAACAAAACGAAGGTTCAGCAACATAACAACAAAACAAGCTAACTATTTCGATAGGTCTCAATCCTCTTAACTAGAGAGAGAAAACCAGGTTCAGATAAGAGAAGGGTATATTCCACCAACATCCAGAAGCACGAACAAGCCAAGCACACAAAACCATATATAATGACATTCAAGTTCCTCCGAAATGATGAAGTCGTTCAAAAGAACGGTGAAAGCTCCACGACCAAACCATCCAGCTCAGAGAACAAAACTCTATCAAAATTTCCAAAATAAAATTACAAAAATAAGCCGTTTACCAATTGATTTCTACGGATGGAACATCCGCCAACCATAAGTTTAAAAAAATTTAAAAAAAACTTTTTTTCTATCAATAAATCACTGTATGAAAGAAGGTTAAAAAAGAAAAAAGCACAACATCTGGTTACTGATTTCTTTCTACTTTGCCAAAAAAAAGAAAAAAAGAACTTTCGAG